GTGCTAAGATTTGAGAATGATGTGATATGAATGCGTGTGTGCAGGTATCTGAGATTGCTTCAGGAAGAAACAGGTGTCTGAGTGAAAAGTGATGGTTTGAATAAAACTTAGGTCTTATTAGAAAAAGGCATCAAACGCTATCCGTTGTGTACTGCCTCACCGTACGAGGACCCCCTTTTCAGATCCGGACGTCACCGGAGGATGTTCATCCAGGGGACACCTTGGCTGGCAGAGAAGACGAAGGTGTCCGACGCTCCGGTCCAGAGTTGACCTCGGTACACGTTGATGACGCGTTTGGCAGATGCGCTTTCTTAAGTTTAAATTACTCAGAAATCAAAAGATTCTGGACGAGTCTGCGTTAGCTGGTTGCAATTCAGCTATCCTGTCTGGCTTGACAGGAATAGTGTCATGTGTGTGTTCAACACGTCCGCTCTCTCTCGTTGACAAACTCGAACTGAATCATGAACTGAAACTTACCAAAAGCCACTTCTCCTCCCAAAGCAATACTTGTGCGTCAGAGCAAATGTGTTTGGGAGTTTACTGTGAGAGTAGACCTGTGTGAGCGAGTGTGAAGGTCATCACTAAAACATCTTCAAAACATTATTTAATTAAGCATTGATTCATTATAGTTATTATGATTAACCAAAGCATAATAATCATTCATTTGATTGAAATACATTTATAATGAGTAAAATGGTAAAATGATTATTTAGCATTAATAAACAAAGGAAGCGTAAGACTCTTTTATTATGACTAGCTTTCATGAGAACTCCTTCGGCTGGAAGCTGCAGGTGTGGGATGTTGTGGTTTCTGTTGAATCTTGCAGACTGCATGTTGGCAAAGGTCTTAATCTGTGGGTGAAAGTTCTGAGTGACCCAGCTCTGACCCAGCCGGGCCAAATACAACCTTTGGCACAGAAAACCCATATTTCCTCACGTTACATTGATGAGGGCCTGAAAAACAGCAGGTGCATTAGTTAGTCCAAATGGCATGACGAGATACTCATAATGTCCTGTGGGGGTGTTAAAAGCAGTCTTCCATTCATCCCCTTCACGTATGCGAACCAAGTGATAGATATTGCGTAGATCCAGTTTTGTAAATATTCGGGCTCCGTGAAGAGAGTCAAAAGCGGTGTTTTTGAGTGGTATGGGATAGCGATTTTTATGGTGATGTCATTCAGGGCTCAGTAGTCGATGCAAGGCCTAAGGGATCCAGCTTTCTTTTCCACAAAGAAAAACTCAGCACCGGCTGGGGAGGAGGATGGTCGGATAAGTCCTGCCTGTAGCGATTCCTTAATGTATTTGGTCATGGCAGTTTGTTCGGGAATGGAGAGAGAAAACAAACGGCCCCTTGGAGGAAAAGTACCATGTAATAGGTCAATGGCACAGTCATATGGGCGATGAGGTGGAAGAGAGGTGGCACGATGTTTACTGAAAACCTCCTTCAAATCATGGTAAGTCTTGGGCACTTTGGAAAGGTCAGGGTAGATTTATTGGGGATCCTGAACAGATTGAATGGGAGGGGACGCATAGTTTAAACAGTTATGATGACAGTGAGCAGACCATTGAAGAACCTTTTCTTTGCACCAGGCAATTTGAGGGTTGTGTTTTTGTAACCAGGTGTTGCCTAGAATGATAGGAATGCTTGGAGATTTAATAACCAGAAATTTTAAAGTCTCTGTGTGGTTACCTTCAAACCTCATGTTTAAAGGCTCCTTCTCCTGGGTGGCACGATACATAGTGTGGCCGTCGATAGCCAGAATCTCCTGAGTCCCTGACATGGGTTGAAGCTTCAGTCCCAGAGTCTTGGCCGTGTTATAGTTCATAAACTCCGTGTTTGCGCCAGAGTCAATAAATACTGGGAGCTTAGTCTCTTGGTTTGCGTGGGAAAAAATGGCAGTTACTGGAGGCCTGGACGAGGACTTAGGATTAATGTGACCCAGTAGACGCCTCTGGATATCGACTGGATCTGTCCTTTTAACGGGCAGTTCCGAACCATGTGCCCCGAGTTGCCGCAATACATACACAGATTAAGATTCCTCCTTCTGGTCTTCTCTTCTGGTGATAATTGTGACCTGCCAAGTTGCATAGGTTCCTCAGTTCTGGTGGGAGTGGAAGAAAAACCACCAATCTTAGACAATTTACCTGAGGACGACTGTCGAGCAGGACGGTAAGGGGTTAATGCAGGCTGATTAAAATTCCTGTTTGTTCTGTCTCTCCTGTATTCCATGTGTCGAAGGTCAATTCTTGTAGCTAGGTTCTCCAGTTCAACCAAGGTCTTGAGAAATTCTCGGGTGGCCATCTCATCTTTGATACTGTCAGAAAGACCTTGATAGAACATGTCCATAAGAGCGGGCTCATTCCAGTCACTGGTAGCAGAAATAGCATGAAAGTCAATTATGTAATCCGTGACCCTTCTGTTATCCTGTTTTAACATCATAAGTTTGCGGGTGACTTCTCGACCAGGTAATAATGGATCAAAAATCCTTATAAGTTCATGAGCAAAATCATGGTAATTGTAACATATCCCAGAATTTCTTGCCCATTCTCCAGTTCCCCAAACTCTGGCTTGTCCTGATAACAGGGAAATGACGTATGCCACTCGAGATCGCTCTGTGGGAAAAGAGGAGGGCTGTTGCTCAAACTGAATCTCACATTGTGTAAGAAATGCTCGGCAGTTCTTTGATTCACCTCGGAAAACTTCAGGTGGAACCAGATGTGGCTCAAGAATAGGATAACTTCGGGGCACGATGGCGGAGTCTGGAGTTAAACCAGAAGCAGCTAGCTGCAATCTCTGTTGGTTAGCTCGTAGCAGGTTTAGCATTTCCTCAGTCTTGTTCTCCAGTTTGTTTATAGCTGTCTCCACACTAACACGCCACTCTGATGTTGTGTTCGGATCCATAGTGGCCAGATTATTCTGTCACGAGCTGACTGGTGGATCCGTGAAAACACCCAACACAGAATGACAGTTTAACGATGTTTATTAAAAGGAGAGAGGCAGAGGCCAGGTCAGGAGGCAGGAGGTCGTTACCAGGAGATCTGAATAGAGAATAGTCCGTAGGGGAAATCCAAGAAGCAAAGTCGGGGACAGAGCAGGATCGGAACCAGAGGATCAGAGCAGCAGCGGAGCAGACAGGGTAAATCCAATAGTTGAGGTCGGGGACGGAGCAGAGTTCGTGATCAGAAGACAAGGTGAGTAACAGGCTGGAAGATTTACTTGCAAGGCTTTCAATAATCTGGCAATGACTGGGTAGCTGAATCTTTTATAGCAGGAGGAGCAGGTGTGGTGAATTAGGTTGATGATGGAACAGGTGGAATGAATGGAGCTGATGAGGTGCGGGCTGTGGTTGCTGTGGCAACAGGTCTTCGACAGGAACAGGATCATGACATGTTGTACTTATTGTTTTCAGTCAAAATTAAAATATGTTGCATCATCAACGCGTTACTCTGTTTTGTTCCTATTGTGAGTTGGGTTAAGAATTAAGTGCATTAAAAAATGTGAGGACCAAGCAACAACCATAACTGAGTACCAACCCAAAGATATTATGTGCACTCCTGGTTACCAGTCTCCACTGCATGGTCAGTGTTTCCCTCCTTCTCCATGCATGCTTGCTGGTCCGAGTACTGCTGAGATCCTAACGGTTAGCAGTAGGGGATCAGAGGTGCCAGGGCCTCCGCCAGCGGCGGACACACTCTGGCGGTGGCAAAACCTCTTTTTTTTTTTTGCCTCCACCTTCAGATCGGACCATTTTTTTAATATCCGCCACAGATCTCTCTGAATAACTCAGCATTGACGGCTTCAGCAACGCTGTGCCACTCTATGCATTTTCTCTTATTTGTTTTGCAAAAGCACTTCCTTTCATTTTTCCACTTCACCCACAAGTACCTCAATTTCTGCTTGTGAAATTGCGCTTCCTTGATCTGCGGTCGCCATCGTTAATGGTGGAGCGCTGCAAAGAGCCTGCTTATGAATATGCATGAGATCCACAAGGCACTTTGCATTGACCATTTATGGCAGTAAGTGGGCGTGTTGAGGGCGGGATGGGATCCAGAAACACCTGAGCACATTTCTAGGTGGTTTCTGATTTACAAAGCGGAGATTGCGTGAAACTGTGCGTACTCCATGTTTTATAGGTCACAAACTTACTTGGCGTAAGTTAATTTTCTGAGCTTAAGAACGGTTTTAGTAAGGATTCTGTGCAATGTTTTATAAATGAGACCCCCTGGTCTGCTGAGACAGGGGTTTGTGGGCTTTTTTGCACCCTGAGTTCTGCTTGCAAGGCATTCATTCCAAATAGAAGCCTCTGCAAATGAACTGATTAAAAGAGTAAGCCACACCTTTGTGAATGAGAAGTGTCTGAGTTCTGAGAAGAAAGGCAGGCACTACTTTAAAGAAATAATCTGTTTCCATTTTAGTTCACACAAAACACACATTATTTCCACCCAAATGACTATAATAAAACCTTTTCCTACTTGCATTTCTTTCAAAAGAGCAGTCACAGAATCTCCACAAAGTTTGATCAGTATTTTATTCATGTCCTGAATCACAAAAAGAAAAATAACAAGGCCAAAATTATTAGCCTTCCTGTGCCTTCTTTGCTTCCAAGACAAATGTGGCCATTCAGTTAGTTTCAAAACCACACCTGAACATTCAATTAACTTTCCCACCACACTTGAGTGATCAATCAGCATCGATTCTTACATGTGGAACTCTGGAGACCAGGGCCAGTGGCACTTGAATGCTTCGACTATTCTGACACTTTTGGCAAGAGGCAAATTCATCATGTCAAAGAAATTAATTAGTCCTGACCTCTGGAAGATGTTAGCAGTAGCTTACAGTGAGGGTGAAGGCGACACTGTCATTTCCAAACATTTCATGGTGTCCACAATAGCTGTATCATTGCAAAGCATCAAGAGACACATTCTGTTATGAACACACCTGGGGCTGCAAGCATAAAAAATACAAAAACATTGGAGAGATAAATAATCAGAGATATCAACATGGATCCTATGGCCATTGCCAAGATGACTGTTGCTGAGCTGGCCTCATCTGGAGTTGATGTGAAGACAGTTGTGGGAACTCTTTGTCATGAAGTCTCCAAAGCCACCAACTAAGGACAACTCCAAAGCGGAAACAATGACACATTAGTGCCCAACTAAAGTTTAGTGATGTGGTAACACATACATGTCATTAATCTGTAACACTTTATAAATCATTAGGTGTTTATTAAGCATTAGTTAAAAGCAAGGAAGAGACTAAACTGACCAGTTTCTTGACAAATTTTAAATAAAAAATAAAAATAAAAACAAACATTAACTGAGTCATTTGGGCATGGGGATATTAAAAGGAGAGCGAAAGGAGTCCTTTATCCCTGATAAATTTCACACCCTGTCCTGTCTCCCCATTTGGTTCAGCCTGCGTCCCTGTTAATTACTCCCACCTGCCTCTCGTTTTCCAATCACCCAAGCTCCCAGCCCTCTTTTATTTAAACCCCTCCAGTTCTGTGTCTCTTGTTGGCTCATTGTTCCCATGTCCTGCATGCGTTTGTTATTAAAACATTTTACGTTACCCAGTTTGTCTACATGCCTGATTCCTCCCCAGCATGTGGATCCTCACCTCCTTTCCACTCACTGGCACGTTGTGACAGAATGAGCCAACCCACAGAGGGATCCAGCGGGGAGGTTATCCCTTGGGAGAACCTGCTCCAGTTTCTCACCAAGGACCACCGGTCGGCTCCTCTTCCTCCGGCGTCGCCTCGCCGCTGACGCCGCCACCGAGCCCGGGCCTCAGCAATCCTCTCCACCCTCCCGGAGCTGGATGGAGACTTGGACGGGGAGGCGCAGATGGACAGCTCCTGCTATGTGGGCACCAGACTGGCTGTGTGCTCCCCCGGAGTTGGCCCACAGCGTTGGGAAGTATGCCGGGCTCTACCGTCACCCCTTGTCCCAGGACGGAGCCGCGAGCTCGCGGCTGCCCTGGCTCGGCGCGCCAGCTTGGACCCGCTCCCAGTCAGACCAGCAGTCTCGTCTCTGGTCCAATCAGCGCCTCCGTCATCTGCAAGCGGAGGAACCACGCCTACAGCCCAGCTGACAGAGCTCGCCGGTCTCCAGGCGAAGCTTGGCCGGATCCGTCAGCTCGTCAGCCTCTGGGAGTTCCAGATGGACACCCTATCCTCCCCGTATCTCCAGGAGAAGGTTTCTGTCCAGCCAGCGGCCCCGCCTCTGGTCCAGTCAGCAGCTCTCTCATCTCCAGGCCAAAGGACCGAGCTCGCAGCCCATCCAACAGAGCTCGCCGGTCTCCGAGCTGAGCTGGTCCGACTCCGTCAGATCCTCAGTCTCCAGGAGTTCCAGCTGGACAATCTATCCTCCCTGCTTTTCCAGTTACCGGTTCCACCAGGTCCCGCACCACCAGTCCAGTCAGCGCCAGTTCCAGCAGTGGTCCAGGATGCTCTGCCCCCGGTCCAGCCTGTCCAAGAGGCTCTGGCCCCAGGCCAGCCAGTCCAGTGGTCAGCGCCCAGTCCGGCGGCACCAGCCAAGGAAGCGGTCCCGACTGCAGCGGCTCCGCCTCCACTCCAGAAGTCGGCTGCCCCTCCTGCAGCTGCTCCGCCTCCACTCCAGAAGTCAATGCCTCCGGCCCTGAAGTCGACGCCTCCGGTCCAGAAGTCGAAGGTTCCGGTCCAGAAGTCAAAGTTTCCGGTCCAGAAGTCGACGGTTCCGGTCCAGAAATCGACGGTCCAGGTCCAGAAGTCGACAGTCCAGGTCCAAAATTCGACGGTCCAGGTCCAAAAGTCGGCGGTCCAGAAGTTGGCGGTCCAGAAGCCGGCGCCTCTGGACCAGAAGCCGACAGTCCAGGTCCAGAAGTCGGCGGTCCAAAAGTCGGCGGTCCAGAAGCCGGCGCCTCCGGACCAGAAGGCGACAGAGGTCGACGCTCCTTCCCATCCAGAGGTCGACGCTCCTTCCAGTCCAGAGGTCGACGCTCCTTCCAGTCCAGAGGTCGACGTTTCTTCCAGTCCAGAGGTTGACGCCCCTTCCAGTCCAGAGGTCGACGCCCCTTCCAGTCCAGAGGTCGACTCTCCTTCCAGTACGGAGGTCGACGCCCCTTCCAGTCCAGAGGTCGACGCCCCTTCCAGTCCAGAGGTCGACGCCCCTTCCAGTCCAGAGGTCGACGCCCCTTCCAGTCCGGAGGTTGACGCCCCTTCCAGTCCGGAGATCGAAGCTCCTTCCAGTCCGGAGGTTGACGCCCCTTCCAGTCCGGAGGTCGACGCCCCTTCAAGTACTGAGGTCAACGCCTCCTCCAGTCCCGAGGTCGGCGCCCCCTCCGGTCCAGAGGTCAACGTCCCTTCCAGTTCAACGTCTCCCCCTCCAGTCCAGAGGCCGACGTCTCCTCCTCTGGTCCAGTAGTTGACGCCGTCCCCAGTCCAGTGGTCGATGCTGTCCCCAGTCCAGTGGTTGACGCCGTCCCTAGTCCAGTGGTCGACGCCGCCGCCGCCTCCAGTCCAGTGGTTGTCGCCGCCACCTCCAGTCCAGAGGCCGTCTCAGCCGCATCCAGTCCAGAGGCCGTCTCCGCCGCCTCCAGTCCAGAAGTCGTCGCCGCCGCCTCCAAGCCAGGAGTCAAGGACATCTCCTCCGGCGTCTCTGCCTCTGGTCACTGCCGGTCCAGCCCTCACCAGGCGCAGGTCCCCAAGAACCCATCGGAGCCTCCTCCTCTGCCACAGACGCAGGCCCTCAAGAGCCCGTCGTCGCCTCCTCCTCTGCCACAGACGCAGGCCCCCAAGAGCCCGTTGTCGCCTCCTCCTCTGCCACAGACACAGGCTCCCAAGAGCCCGTCGTCGCCTCCTCAGGCCCCCGGACTCTACTGGTCCCTGCCTCCTCTCCATTGGCCCCTCTGTCCCTCTTGGCCCTCCCTCCGGATCGCCCTCCTCCCACCCTGCTCTGTGTTCCTATGGGCGTCTGGAATCCGCCCTTTTGGGGGGGTGGGGGGTTACTCTCACACCCTGTCCTGTCTCCCCATTTGGTTCAGCCTGCGTCTCTGTTAATTGCTCCCACCTGCCTCTCGTTTTCTAATAACCCAAGCTCCCTGCTCTCTTGTATTTAAACCCCTCCAGTTCTGTGTCTCTTGTTTGCTCATTGTTCCCATGTCCTGCGTGCGTTTGTTATTAAAACCTTTTACGCTACCCAGTTTGTCTACCTGCCTGATTTCTCCCCAGCGTGTGGATCCTCACCTCCGTTCCACTCACCGGTACGTCGTGACAATAAAACAGTTCCAACTGTTAAGCATGGCTCTGCCGGTCTGGCTGAACAGTGTTGTGTGACGGGGTGAGTACTCCTTCTTCTCTACAACATCTTTGTGAGATCTTCATTCCAGGAGAGGGCACTCACCAGCTGCGGAGCATTACCGATCAGCGGCAGCTGCAGATCCTCAAATCAACCGCAGCAGAGCTCTATTTAAGAGGAGAGGGAACCACTTCACATCGCTGAATGATTAACTACTCACGGTAGAATCTTGCCACTCTGTTCTTAGGGTTTGCTTGGTCTCTGCTCAGACATTCGTGCTGTCGCAGTTTTTGGATTTATCTGTTTTTTTGTGCTTGGATTCTGGCGTTTGGACTCAAGTTTGTTTCATCTTCAGGATACGTGGAATCGCTGAACCATTGATGGATGTACCTACCTGGAAGTCACCATAACCCGCCTGGATTACACTCTCAAGGTTCGCCTCTCCTCCTGCTCCACTTGCTCTCTGCCGCCATCATCTGGCTCCCTCTCCTGGACACACCCCGTCACACCGTCTGCCCTCCCTGCTGGCTTCCGGACTCTTGCCGACTACTTCGGACTTGGATATCTCCAGGACACTTTTAGTTAGGTTTAATACATCATTGTTTGAACTTTCTGCCTTTGTCCTGTGATGGTTCTTCATGTCGTGGGTTAAACACCTTCCCAGGGACATGACAGAATCATCCAGCCAAAACGCTAACCCCACGCAATCATCACTCACCGATTTTAGTTCTAGGTTAACTCAGCAGGAAAAGGCCCTGCCGGTCTTATTGGAACACCTCCAGATTGTTAACCAACGATCTCAACAGCTGGAGGCCATAATCTGTCAACTTCAACAGGGCTTGACCCAGCTCCAGGCTCAGGAACCCTCTCAGGAAAGAGCCACCACCTCCCAAGGAAACCTCGCCGTTCCTGAACTCAATACTGAAGGGGCCGCGGCCGCGGAACCTGCCTATTACCGCACCGCCCCTGCGCCACCTGCTCAGACGTACAGTGGAGAGTTCGAGGAGTGCCACAGTTTTCTCCTCCAGTGTCAGTTGGCATTTGCTCGGTCTCCTGGAGCCTTCCACACTGATGTAAGTCACATTTCTTATATTGTTGGACTGCTACGAGGAAAAGCATTAAGTTGGGCAGAAGCTAAGAGCCACAACCCTGCCTTTTTGGCAGGCCCCTTGGATGCTTTCCTGGCCGAATTTAAGTTGACTTTTGGCTCTGACATATCCCCCATGGACATAAGCAGGAGGCTGTGGACGCTGTCACAGGGGCAGAGGACGGTGGCAGAGATGACCCTGGATTTTTGTACCCTGGCGGCCTGATCTGCCTGGAACGAGGAGGCCCTCATCGCCGCCTTTACGGAGGCTCTAAACAGCTGCATCAGGAACCAGCTCGCCATGTGCCCGGAACCTCAGTCCCTGGAGGGGCTGATCAAGCTGGCCATCTCCCTCGACAAGAGGCACCGGGAGCTTCACGTGCCCACACCTACACCGGCAACTGGGTCAGTAAGTCATTCCTCGGACAATCTCCCCCCGGAGGAACCCATGCAATTGGGAAAGACCAGACTCAGCAAGGAGAAGCGTGAACATCGCATGAGGTCAGGTCTTTGTATGTACTGTGGGGGGTCTGGGCATTTTGCCAAAGCCTGCCCGGTTCTGGTAAAAGGGCGTGCCCACCGGTAATGTCGGAACTACTGGTGGGCAGTCAGAACTCTAAGGGGTCCCGTAGTGTGTTACCTTGTATGTTGTACGCTAATGCTAAACAGTTTCCGGTAGATGCTTTATTGGATTCAGGTTGTGAACAATCTTTGATTGACACAGAACGAGTACATCAGTGGGGAATTCCCACGACCCGGCTCTCCACTCCACTCGTGGTGGCGGCTCTGGATGGACGCAGCTTAACCACCATCACGCATCGGACTGTCCCGGTAAAACTCAGGGTGTCGGGAAATCATGTGGAGGAAATAGAGTTTTTTGTTTTTCCCTCCCTACAGACTGCAGTAGTGCTCGGTCACCCATGGCTCCTCCGCCACAATCCCCAGGGGAACTGGGAGACGGGAAGAGTAGAGGGGTGGAGCCTGAGATGCTCCCTGTCCTGCCTCGGAGCAGCCCCTCCTAACATCAGCGCGTCTAGACCGCCATCAGCTGAGAAGATTGACCTATCTAACGTACCCCAGGAGTATCACGACCTCGCACAGGTATTTAGTAAGGACAGAGCTACTTCTCTTCCTCCACACAGGCCTTTTGACTGTAGCATAGAGCTGCTGCCTGGGGCTCCTCTGCCCAGCAGTCGTCTGTACCACCTCTCCAGACCTGAGCAGGAGAGCATGGAGACCTACATACAAGAATCCCTGGCCGCTGGACTCATTCGACCCTCTTCCTCTCCCCTGGGCGCGGGGTTTTTCTTTGTCCCAAAGAAGGAAGGTACCCTCAGGCCTTGCATAGACTATAGAGGACTAAACCAGATCACTATAAAGAATAAATACCCGTTGCCTCTTCTCAGCTCGACCTTCGAACCTGTGCAGAACGCGCGGGTGTTTAGCCGTCTGGATCTAAGGAACGCGTACCACCTGGTGCGCATCAGGCAAGGGGATGAGTGGAAGACGGCTTTTAAGACTCCTATTGGACATTATGAGTATTTGGTTATGCCTTTTGGGTTGACTAACGCCCCTGCTGTATTCCAGGCGCTTGTGAACTCTATGTTGGGCGATTTCCTGAATAAGTTTGTAACAGTTTATTTAGACGACATTTTGATTTTTTCAGAGGACTCTGCACAGCATGTGGAACATGTTAGAGCGGTTCTCCAACGGTTGTTGGAGAGTCGCTTATATGTCAAAGCAGAGAAGTGTTTGTTTCATGTCCCACAGGTCAAGTTCCTTGGGTTCATCGTGGAACACAGGAGACTCAGAGCGGATCCGGAGAAAGTCCGCGGGGTCACGGAGTGGCCCACCCCCTCATCCCGGAAACAGCTGCAGCGCTTCCTGGGATTTGCGAACTTTTACCGGCGCTTCATTAAATACAGCCAGGTAGCCGCACCGCTAACTAACTTAACGTCTGTGAAACGCCCAGTCTGGTCCCCAGAAGCCGAGGTTGCTTTCCAGGAACTTAAGAGGCGCTTCACCGCCGCTCCAGTCCTCCACAGACTGGATCCCCAGAGACAGTTTGTGCTAGAGGTGGATGCATCTGAGACCGGGGTATTTCAGGGAAAAACAACTCTGCGCATGCACAATTTATTTAATCTGACTGAATGCTTTTTGCATGTATACTCACAGCATGATCGAATCATTTCAGTTAGTGTCCAAGTAAACAGAAATTTGGGATTCACAATCAACCAATCGGACAAGGGAAAATTGGTGTATGTAAATGTAGCTCCTGACACTTAACATTCCTGGCTTGCAACAGGGAAGGCTGTTGTTGGTTTGTGCCCAGGAAACAGCAGAGAATGTCTCAGCTGTTAGAAGCGAACTGTTAGTATTAACAATATACCACACAACAGAACAGATACAACAACGTTTCAAAGCAAGCAGTCAGTGGCAGAGTCACGTTGCAGCTGTCCAAATGTCTAAAATCCAGGAAGTAAGACTCCTGCCATCTGAAGCTACTGTTTCCCTTGGCTGAATTCTCCGTACTGAACAGGTGCACTAGAGCTTTTTTCCCTCGAGTACAGCACTGCAACTGTATTAAAAGTATGAGTAAAGGGCCTCTTTAAGAAATCTGCTGCAAGTCTCACTTCAGGCTACCACTGGTTCTTTCAGCAAGATATTGACTCAGAGCACACCTCCAACTTGGTCACAAATCTTTTAAAGGCGTGAAATTCAGGGTCGTGGAGTGGCCCTCACAAAGACCAGATCCCAGTCTCATCAAGAATGTGCAGTGGGTGCTGAAGGTCAGTGGCCGTGCTCAAAGACCCCTCAATTTAGACGGGCTGGAGCACTTTGCCATGGAAGAGTTGACTTGGAAGACGTGTGCCAAGCTAGTGAAGAACTACAAGGAGAGGCTGTGGTCAGGTCACACTATTGACCACTAAGGGCTAATATTTTGGAATAGTTTTTTTTTCTTATTACAACCTAGCACATTAATAAAATACACTGTTAGCAAACATTTTGACTGTTATTTTGGAAGAAATACAAGTATGAA